TGCTCGGATGTGTTAAACATCTACAACGTATAAATAACACCTCAAAGTGAGGGACACACATAATAAAAAGAACAAATGCACACAATGTATGCTTTAATAGAATAAAGCAATCTGAGTATTTGATCCACTGCATTGGCCTTTGTTTTGAGAACTCAATACTATTTTCTAGCAATAATTCAGAGTGAAGCCAAGTCAAAATATTAAACGATAGTGTGTCCTTTATAACATTTTTTAAAGCAACAGCTGTAGCTTCTGGTTGCTCCATCTGTTCTAGCTTTTCTGGCAAAGAAACAAATGTGAACACAAGAGCTACACCATCCACTGAAAGACTGACCACAGCTGTGTGAGTTAAACTGCAGATATATGGCATCAGTGCTGAGACAGATGATGTTTGGAAACTTGGATCGTTCAAAGAACCAGAGGACCCGCAGTTTTTTTCCACTGCAGCCACAAACTTTTGCCCACCATCTCTTAACTGCAACGCTCTTTATACACAGATGACTTACCCCCAACGACTGCTCCAGAGCAGTGTGTCGGTCCTCCTTCTCCACTGTGCGCCTGCAGTCAGAGCACACCCACAGAGGGAGCTGGAGGGCACTGGGTGTCTTGTTGGGCTGTGCTGTACCGTTTTGGCCCAAGATCCCTGCCTCTGAAGGCACGGCACTGTCTTTGCGCTCACATCGGCATAAGAGGCAGCGATCGCCGGCCGTGTAGGGCGCCCGCTGGTTCAAGCCAAACGTGAATGGGGTCTGTGGTAAGTATGTTAGTGGGAGGAAGTAGAGAGAAGCAAATACACAATAAGATATCCAGCCACTTTAGCGTCTGCATAAAACATTTTCCTTTTCTCTTTATTCTTTTTATTATTTTATTTCTGTCATATTGTAAAATCAGCAAAGTATACTATCACTATTGATATAAGTGGAATAAAAAGAAGTGCTCCAATATAGACCAATCTGCTATAAAGTTTGGTCTCTGCTATATATTAAGGCAGATTAAACTCTATTTCTTCATAACTCACTGCACCCTGGATACATCAGCTGTCTAAACTGCTCCTCTGCACTCCATTAAGACACTGAAACCTTTTCCTAATGTGCAGACTTGTCAGCAAGTGAACCACAGAGTGGCACAAACACATAATTAGCAGCCAGAAGTTTCAATTAATGATATCCACATCGGCGGTGCTGGGTAGAGAGCAAAATGGCTTTTAGGGATTTTAAAAGACGGTTGTTTTGCGCCTATCTCAGCAACATTTTATAGATGCACCAGTAGTTCCCGGGAGATTCTGAATCTGTGGGTGCTGTGGGTTACTCAACTTAATTCACTCCTCCAGCAGTGGTATTTCTGACTGCACTAAAAAGCACAGAAGTAAAGCAATATTTTTTCCCCCAGTCATTTGGCTGTATATTTTGGTGTACTGCAAAGGTCAGTCGGGGCGTAACAGCTGAAGTAGTTCACGGTTTGATTCAATACAACTGTATTACAATCAAATACATTTTTGGAAAAAGCAGTACCACACGATGTTCCTCGCATTTTTACTTTCAATTTATTGCAACGATAAATGTTTAAATATTTACTTACGATGCTGCATGTAAACAGGACAACATATCTGAACATATTCAGTAATGCATACATAAATACTTTTGTAAGAATTGTCAGCCAGACTGAAGAACATTTTAGCTTTTGAGAAAACCTGCGGCAGGGTTGGACATGAATTTTTTACTCCACCTGCCTCTGTGGCTGGTTGATTCTAAAATCTATCAGCCACTCAACAGATAACTGTTTGGGTTTTTTTGGGGGCTGGTGAGTGAAGCAAATACAGCAGCCACCTGCATATTTTACCAGTATTTGGCTGGTGGCTCATGCAAATTTCCAACCCTGACCTACAGAGACTTTACAGGGATATAGAGGAAGGCATACATTAAAATAAGACTCATTTAAATCTGTAATGCCATCATCGGTTGTCCTGATGCTGTGATATAGCACATATATATAGCTAAATGTTAACAGAAAGCTGAATTTGAATTAACAGCATCATAACACTGCTGTAAAATGCAACACTGACAGTGAAATTACTGTTGCAACTGATCACTTAGGGCGGGCAGACACAACACAATGAGACTGGCTCCAGTCACGTTCCAGATGTGCAGTCTGAATACAGATGTTGGAGCATCTTCATGCCACGCTGTTGCAACTGTGTTTGGATCCCATACCAATGACACCTCTAACAGTTGTGTCGCTCTGGACACTGAATGTTTTTAATTTTGTGAGTAAAGGCAGTAAATTGAGCCGTCTTGTGGTGTGCTTCCCATTCTAGTGCACCTAAAGTTCTGGCATCAAGGTGTAAATTGTGTCTGGCAAATAGGACGTGGCTTCAGAGGAAAATCTCACAGTGGCGTTTGTACTTGGACTTGGACTTTGGAGAGACCTGATGTAAAGTTACCTGAAGGACCCCGGAGAAGTCAGCGTTCACTGGCCCTTCTGTAAACTGTGGTGTGACACTGTTGTTTACTTGGACCTGAGGGATACAAACAACTCAGTGTTTACACAGAACTGTCCACTCAGATGCTTTATTAACCAGAGTTAGTAGTATACCCTTACTTTATATTAACGCAATCTATGAGTGAATCGCCTGTCGCAGAAATTGATGACTTTGTTTAGAACCTATGGCTGATTAACTTGGTGAGTGTCACAACTATAACATTGAACTTCAAACCCCTACATGGTGAAGTAGATGTCTGTATTTTCTAAGTTTCCAAGCTATATGTGTGTGGTGCATGATCAAGGCAGAGAATTGTTAAGCTATACAGTCAAGCATGCCCAGGATAGGCAGGTAGACAAGTATATAAACATAATAAACATATAAGCATAGTGTCCATAAATGATGTTTAGACATTTTTCCCCACTTTTACCTAGTAGACTGTAGTTTAGTTGTCCTTTATTGTCTTTTTTGGCAATTAGCATAAAACTGATTGATTTTTACAGCAGATAATTTGGCCCCGGTAATTACATACAACTTATTTGCAGGCAAACCGCTGTGTTTTAACTACAGCAAATGAATACCTTGTTAGACAAACTTCTGTATATCAATGTAACTGGACAATAACTGTGACCACACAACTTGTCCAATTTTTAAACATGATGATCTCATATAGCACTCATGAGTGTATTATTTTCTTGTGATGAATAGAAGAAGCAATTCTCAAGAATTGTCTGGATGGAGAGGTTAACACAACATCCACACAACAGAGGTCAAACATCCAGGGATGGTGTTATTTACTTCATAGGAGGCTGGCTGCTTGTGCATGTATCATAAACATACACACATCTGCTAAATAATGGGCTTTATTTACCTTTATAGTTTCCGCAACACAGTGAATTTACACAAGGAAAAAAATGCACAGTCCACTGACATGCAGTATGACTATACACTAACTAACTACATTTCTGTGAGCCCAAAAGCTATCCAACTAACTTTTGAGCTGACATCTATCTATGAGTTGTTGAACTATTACACACTGGTCAGTTACAAAGAGACTAGCTAACATCCTATGGTCCTAATTTGAGTTATTGTTTTAGTGCTAACTTTTGTGCAAATGGTGTATCACTAAGCTACATTAATAAGTGAAGATAGTCAGCATTAGTTGGTTCAGATTATTACCTGGCAAATACAACCACTTTAAACTCTAAATAAACAAGGAAAGGTCAGCTTGTAAAAACACATCGAGGCCCAACTGGGCTGAAGTTGTTATCCTCACCATTAGCATTAGCTAGCATGAATGTTTATCTGTGTAATAGCAGCCTGTGGTTGAACTGTGTTAAACCTAACGGTACTCACGAATAATCTTGGTTTGGCCAATGTAATCTCCACCTGCCTGGACTGTGTTAGCTCAAAATAATGTTTGGTTATCTGAGTTGTTGTCGATTCAACTGCGGTCTCTTAACTTGAGCTAACGATGATAGTCATAGCGTACGTCCAAGGCACAAGTAGCCTAATGTTTACGGCTGTTTATTACAATACAATAAAGCCACTTTAACGAACATTACACCGTTACACGACCTGCTAGCTGGTAACGTATTCCCCAACGCATAACAACCAGCATTAGCGGTAATTAAGCCAGTTAATTTCTAGCTACGCATAGGTTAGTTAGCTAGCTGCCCTCCTCGCATCAGTGTCGGGCCCGAATCTGATTTGTGTCGTTGATAACGCTGCTAACTAGCCAGTCGCCCCGTTTTGACATCCACCAGTTAACGCTGGGTGACAGTCTTACCTCTCCGTTTATGCCCGTGATGGACCCAATATTCCCGTTGCCTGTGCTGCCAGGTGTTAAAAAGCTGACGACAGAGGCAGGTGTAGCTGTTCCCGCACAGCCAAGGGCCGAGGCAACCCCGGCCTTGCCACCGCTGGTATTGCAGACAGCACTGCAACTACTGCCACCGCCCCGCTTGTTCTTCCTGCGTTTAGCCCCTCGTTTAGCATCGGTTGGACTCATTTTTTCCACAAAAAAAGCGAGACAACTTGCCGTCCACACTTGGCAGGGTCTCGAGTGGAATGCCTGGCGCAATCACTCGGGTATAAATCCGGGATAGCGATTTATAGACTCCCAAAACGACAGACACTCAGTTCTATCAAAGTGCAAGCCGACTTCATAGATTCCAATATGGCCTCTAGCTGGATTGCCTCAACCAGGCTTCAGCTTGCGTTGCAACGCAACTGTGCGTACCCATTCGCAAGGGCTTATGGGTAATTGAGTTTGTTGTATAATATCGCATTGTGCTAAGCGAGGAAGCTGAAGTTGTAACTGAGATAAACATTAACAAGGAAGCTTTAAACAGTATAATAGTCTACTTATTGTCGTGTTCCTACATAAAATGTGTCGCAATAAATATACTCGGTTACACAAAAATTAAATTAGCCTCTTTCAGACCGTTGACACAAACCGTTGCAAGCGCCATATTTGACCAGCAGGGGGAGCGCGCATGCAGCAAATGATGCGGTCTGCTTCTGATGACAGCCGAGGGCCCACACTGTGGATCAGTCTTTCCGGGGTTCAAACAGCAAGTCTAGTGAGCTTAAGGCGAGTCGAGGACCATCGATGACAAATTGATAGTATATCTATGCAACGTTTGCGTTAAAAACAGGCGCACTGCCTTTCAGAAACACATCCAGTGCGGCACGGCATCAAGGATTTTCGTGGACTACTGCAGCGGCTAACAGTTCGCAGCTAAATAGTTAGCCACGACCGCAGACAGGTAATGTTAACTAAACTTTTGAGCATCGCCATTCCCTGTAGGCGTTGACTTGCATATTTGGCGAAATAGTAAAATAACACTAACCATTTAAAGTTCTTTTATTTGAGTTTTTAATGGGTTCGTTATCCGCTGTTTAGCTAGGTTAACGTTAGCAAACAACACGTCAACGGCTGTGATACATTCACGTTCTCTCAAATTAGTGGACAGCTTTATAAGACCACTGACTGAGAGGGAGAGAAACAGAGAGGTTTGTTGAATGATTGCCTCTCTAAATAGTCTTAACAATGCAGTAAAACACTAACATTTCCTCATGTGACGTGTCGTTGCTAGCATTTAAAAGTATTTGATCACTTTTGGGCACCCTAGCTAGTCACGTGACTGCGCTGCAACAGGTAATTGTTCTAACCTTGCTAAACGTGAGAGCCAGTTCCGGTGTGTGATGTGACAGGGAAACAGAGCAAACAATGTGGCGACAGCTGTAATGCCGGACTGTCACCAGTACTAGTAGTAACACCCAGGTTTCCCATATACCCTAGCTACATGTCAGACATCAGTAATCACAATATAAATGGGCCATACTTTCCTGCAGGGAGCTGAGAGGTTGGGAATGCACACCTTAACATTGCCAGCACTTACCCAACATCTGTGCATGTGTTTCCAAGGCAAGGGTTGCTTTCAGGTTTCAGTTGATTTGTTTTTATAGGTGTTATTGATTTACGTCTGTCAGATGCATCTTATAGACAGTTAAAGTGTATTTGCAGAACACAAAGATGTACAAAAGCAAAGTAGTAAAAGCAATCAATGGTGGTAGCTGGAAATGACCTCTCTCTTTGCTTGATTTGCAGGACATTAGCCTACATTAGACCCAAATTAAATTTGCCTCTGTATTTGCTTGTCTGGGTGTTTTATGTGTGTGTCTGTGTGTATTTGCTGTATGAATGCATCTATGTTTCATAGGTATAGATGATGCATACACTGTGGAAACACATTTCCAACTAGGGAACAGTTGAGTCTACCTAGCCTACAAACATGTATTCATTCACATATTCATTCAAAATAAATCCAGTTATATTTTTTCTTATGTTGTACAAGATGAGCGAGGAAATATATCATTTCCAGCTGCTGTCTTAAAAGAGGAAATTGCAACATGGCAGGGAAAAGTAAAAAAAAATGTTATCATGCAGTGCTAGAACATTTTTAAATACTTTCCAAGCAGTGATAAGTGCTTTTAAACAACCGTCTGGCTTTTTCCAAATACTATCTGGGATTTATTTTTAAGAAAAAAACACATGTTTAGATCTGTGGTATGTTATTCACATGCAGACACAAACTGGGCGTACTATATTAGTGCACAATGCAGTCTACTAGCTCAGTAGGACCTATTTATACCCTTTTATCTGTCTGTTTTCAGGTATGTCTGAAGTTAGTCTTGAGGTTGAATCGGGGAAGACCTCAGCCAAGGACTCTCACATGGATTGTGTGGAGGCTGACAAAGCGGAAGAGAGTTTGAGTGAGGATGTACAGCAGGAGAGTGTAGACAGCAGTAGGGCACGAGATGAAGGAGGTGATGTGCTGTACGACGTTGATATTGACAGCGCCGAAGAAAACGATGACAGAGATGTTCAGGAGGAGGCTGAGGGCATTCAGAGGGAGAGTGTAGTGGCACGCAGTGACAGCGATGCCGTACACGTGTCTGACAGTGTAGAAAATGGGGGACGCGAGACAAATCATCGTGTTGAAACAGCTGAAAGCCCAGAGGAGAGTGGAGAGTCTCACACTGAAACAAAGGTGACATTTACCTTCACTTTGGACAATCAACCTCTTCTAGCACTTCCTCGCTGTGCTCTTGTCTTCATTTTGCTGTTTCGATCTTTACTTGCTGTGATGGTGGTGGTCTCTTTCCTATATAATCACCTTATTATTAGATTGAATTCAGTTGTGAAGCTTCATCTGATGTAATCAACAACATGAACCTGAGTTATAGCTGTTAGGAGCTTGTGTTTGTTTCTTCCTGGTTTCAGATTCTGCTTTGCCGGAGGTTGCAGAAATATAACTGGTGTAGCTGTTGCTCTGTGTTGATGGTGCAGTTTGTGGCTTTCTTTCTTTTACTTTTGTGTCTCTCTGTGAGGTGCCTGATGTGTTTGGGGATGATCAACGCTTCATAAGTTTCCTCTCCTTGGTATTAATGCTGGCTGATCTCAAAGTGATTGTTGAGACAGATTGATCTTTGCTGTTCATTACCATGCAATATATATGTATATTATTGGAAAGTATACGTCAGTAAGTATACACTAATCTATGTTTTTGCCTACTTTTGTTGGGCACTGACTCTGTGTGCAAGTGAACATGATGAGTTAATGATACCATTTCCTCACAATGTTTCCCTGTTGCTAAGTTGGCCGTACATAGCGCTCTCAAATTCTACATGCTGTCAGTCACATGGCTGGGTAAGTGAAAGGGATTTGGACTCCTGACTGCACATTCTCAGGCAGTCCAACATTTCTTGTGTCGCTGGAATGTGTGACTCCTCCGGCTGTACATCTGTGTCAGGCCCAGTGCCAGAGTGACACGTCAGATCGCAAGAATTTAGAATCAAAAGTCTTCTTTCTTTTGTAAACCCTGCTCATTTAGTAACCCCTAAATGCATCACAGTTGTAATTCAGAATTTCCAGATTTTACTTTAAGATGCATTCTCTGTGGTTTTTGCAGCCTTGAACCTGCCATTGTGCAACATGGCTGTGTCACATCCTTCTGTAGATGGAGAGGCGAGCCATGATTCCTTCCTCTTCAGCTGACGCAGCTAATTGGACAATTAGTTTATTGTTGTTATCCCTTACTCCCACGTCATGTTAGGCTGTATCCAGGATACTGAACTGTAGGGAACGGCACAGGATGACTTGCCACACCTTGCCTTTATATGCTTGATTAATTTGCAGCCACTTTGCTGCTCTCAGTGCTCAGATAGGCTGACAGTGTTAGCAAGCGTCCTTGCAGAATGTTTGCAGATGTTAGGGTGGATCATTTGGCTCTGAGAACCCGGATCATCCCTACATCTAACAGTCCCATTAGGTTTTGCAATATGAAAAGTCTTTAATCAAGATATATGGATAGTTCTGCAACAACTTTAAAAAAAAAAAAAAACAGTGCTGGTTGGCACATTTTGTCACAGTCATTCTTAATTTACACCCGTATGTTTTAAATGCGTGTTATCTGAGACTTGCCTCTACCCGACGGCCTGTCTAAACTTGATGGCAGAGAGGATTATCAGGCATCTGCAGTCTCATCTGCAGTCAGCTGCTACCAGTGCATGTCTGTGCTGATCTGCCTGCATGCGGGCGTCATATGGCCTTTAAGTATTTATGTGTCTGTCACATGACGCAGCACTCCAAGTACAGTCTTTGTCACACATGCCAACATGAACATCTTCACTTTGATCTACTTTTATATGTTATGTCGGCTTCAGCATATCAGAAAATCTTTGGTTCTGGATAAAAACGAAAGAGGGGTTGACTTTCAGAGAGCCAAACATCCTAACACGCCAACTTCTTTACATAAAGCATTCTCCTCCAGGACCAGTTTTAACCCTCTGTAAACATGTGTACAGTATCAGATGACACAGTGTGATGGAAAGAAAACATTCTGTCTTAATGTTCTTGCATTAGATACTAGACCTCACATTTAATACTCTGTCTGAAGTCTCTAAATCTCCTTGCACTCTCAGCACTGCCTGTCATTTTATGGTCATACACCACTTTAGTTTAGAAAGAGCAACCCTCACATTTTTGTGTGTGGGTGTCCCTAAGTCTTAAGTGTTGCAGCATTCTTTCGTTCATACTCATAGTTTAAAATAAATCCAATATATGAACCTAGTACCGGAGGGAATTAACCCTAGCTGTCATGAAAGGCATACTTTATAAAATAAATTTCAACCAAACATGCTAGCTTTGATATGAAATGTGTGATATAAACTCACTTTTTTGCTCACACAGTGAAACCAGTCGGTCAGCTCAGACGAGTCCCAGATCTTGTTACCTGCTGATCTGGAAGCTATTTGCATTATTTAGACTCCAGTCAAGGTCCACCTATAGTCGAAGGCTCTTCTACAAAGATGCAAATTCAGATTTATTGATCAGTAATACATTTGTTTCGTGTTACCCCGCCTTTACCAGGTGTGTCACTAATCCACATTAACTAGCTTTACACCGTTTGACCTTGCAGAGCTCTCAGGTAAAGCTTTATAGTGGTGAGGTCAGTGTCCTAGTTCCTAAGTCCACAGTGATCAGGCCACAAATTGCTCTAAAACTAACACAGCTTTATCTTCAGCCTGCAAGTTATAGAGAGGCAGTTTATTATAGGCTAAGCAAAACTGATGCTGCCAGAAACTGTTGTCTCCACCCTGTGGCTTACTACGAGCCAACATGTAAATGTGCAGCAAGGCAAGCCAATGTGTCACAGTGTTATTTCAATCCACAGGGACAATTAAGAGGCACCTGATTTATATGTTTTCATAAAGATTATAACAGGACTTTCCTCGTGATTGTTAATTATATTTAAGGTCAAGGGGAATTTTGTTCCGTGCGTGTTCCTGCATCGCAGGATTTTCCGAGTCAGACCACAAAATGACCAGTTTTAAGCCGTGACACACAGGGTTTAAATGTGGGTTGAAATAATTGATGTCACTGGTAAACACAAGGCCTCGCATTAGCTAGGAAACACTGGCATGAACATGGCAACCAGAAATGGGATACTGCCGGTCTAAAGCAGATATCACAGATAACTGGTTGCTTCCCTTCTTTGCATACAGCGTCATGAGGGGAGGCATTGTGCACTTTATGGCACATTATATGGGATACTATGTTGACAATACTCCAACCAAGAATGTATTTATGTAGATTATGAAGGTGATGTAAGGCTCTTGGTATCATATTCCATCCTGTTGTGTTTAGAAATTACACAGAAATGGTGTTGTAAAAAAGGGGTGTTGAAAATTGTTGTCAGTTGTTGCACAAGAACTACAGCGGTCCTGGTAAATGCTGCGATGCTGCAACTGAGGTGACTCATAGCTCACTAAGCTCTCCATTCTGTCCAGGAAACACGATGAAAGTAATTGTAGAAAGAGGGCGGACTGACCAGAATACTAGTATTTTTATTGCCAAAATGTTCTGGGGTGGGAAAGTTTGGGTGAAATCAATATCTTTTTAATCTAATCAGTGTAGGTTACCATATGTCTTAGGTATACTTAGGTCGTTCTTTGATCATTTTAAACTTTCAAACTGTTCTCCCCAGTGTATATGATCATCCTGATATCACACACTCATTACCCACAGAGTCCACCACCGCTGTGTCCACAAGATGGCAGCCCACAACTTCTGTGTCCCACTAGTGGCTCCTGAGTCTTCTTTTCTTAATGGAGGTTTCCATCTTTGAGGTTGTTTTGGGAAAGCTTTGGAGAGTAACCTGCTTCTTTTCACCCTCCTCGTTACAGGAAAGCACAATGACTGAGGAGTCCCATAGAAGCTCTGCCGCTGAGATCCCAGTCACCAGCAATGGAGACCTGGATCAGAGCCCTGAGACAGTATTCCAGAGGGTAAGGGCTTTGTTTCAGAACAGCATCTCTCAAAACTGTATGATTATCTCAGGAGAAATATTTTTACCAAATATCTCAATATCGATAGTACAACGACATTGTAGGGTTGACTATTGGTGCTTTAGCAAAATATTTGCACAATAAGATTTTTGATAAATAATCATCAGTAATGTGGATTAAATGACTATGCTAGTTAAGTCAAATAATAGAACAGCTACAACAGTCTGGTAAGTTCAGAAGATGACATCACTTTATTGTAATGTAGCCTTTAAAACCAGGAAAAGACACTTACTTATGCTATTCAAAATCTAAGACAATATCTAATCTTATATCATGAAATCGACTGTCGTTCTCAGACAGTGTGAGTCTACTGACGTCCAAAACAAAACCTTGACTAGGTCTTCAAAGTCCTTCAGTTGAAAGATGGTGTCTTTAACAACAACACTACCCCTTGTTATAATGTCTGTCTTTCAGTGATGCATCAAGTATAATATCTCTCATTAAATTGACATAAAACATTAAAACTGTACTTCTTAATGAAAATTAACAGTGAAAACAATACAAAAATTTGATATTTGTAGTGTACTTGGGCTGCAACTAACAGTAAACTTCACTATCAACTAACCATCATTATCTCATTTAATCAATTTCATAGTTTAGTCTATGAAATATCAGAAATCAGTGATTTAAAATTGCTTATTGCTTATTGCTTATTGCTAACTGCAGCTCTACAGAATATGTTGGTTTCAACCTGTGTGGCAGGGACATACTCAGAGAGTCAAGGTGAGATCCCTCTGCAGTGAAGTCATTCTGATAGAAACCTCAGGGTGCCTTCTCTTTCCCATCCATCTGACTGAGCTGGCAGCTCCTCCAGATGGCCTGCTGTGTACCCCTAATAGCTCACAGTCACACTGACAATCTGTGGCAGCAAGGACACCACAACCACAAGCATGTATGCAGCCTCAAAATACTGAATCTTAAAAAAGGTAGCTCAGGTATTTAGTGTATCTGCATACATAGGTTTATTAACAGTGCACCACACTCTGTAGCTGCAGTTTGTAACTTTAGGTGTGCAGTGAGTTAAGTTTAAACATTAGAGTGATATAAATATTATGAAGTGTTTGCAGTCATCCATTCATAACAGTACAGCAGTAGCACCGACATCAAACCTAATGTTCTCTGCTGTTTTATGTTCGTCTCAACCTTCAGTTTAAAGTCACCGCACAAGCATCACTGATTTAAAGTTCTGCTCAATAATGACAAAACATGGCAACAGGCAGCAAAAAGCAGGTGTGTGGAGAACATGTTTATGTTGATTTAAAAAAAAAATTCAGATTAATGGCTTTTATTTAGGGGTGTAAGAAAATACTGATACACTTGCAATGTTATGTGATACTGTATTGATTCTCAAAAACACTATCATTTTTTAAATCAGTAGTTTACATACAAAGATTTCTGGCAGTGGTTCATTTTGTGTTGTGTTTAAACCCACGACTGCTACAGTGTTGTAATCTCTCTTCAGCCAAAATTCATGATGCATCACCTCGATTACAGTATTGCAATATATTGAATCATATCACCTGCATAATGATGCATATCATATTGCCAGATTCTTGCCAATGCACAGCCCTACTTTTATTTTGAAGTTGATCTTAATCTATTATCATATCATCCATCCATTTTCATCCGTTTATCCGGGGCTGGGTCACGGGGCAGCAGGCCGAGCAAAGCATCCCAGACATCCTAGGACCCCAACGCGTTCCCAGGACAGACAAGATATGTAATCCCTCCAGTGTGTTCTGGGTCTGCCCCGGGGCCTCCTATCAGTGGGACATGCCTGGAACACCCCTAACGGTAGGCGTTCCAGGATTCATCCTGATCAGATGCCCGAACCACCTCAGCTGACCCCTTTCGATGCGAAGGAGCAGCAGCTCTACTCCGAGCTCCCTCCGGATGTCCGAGCTCCTCACCCTATCTCTAAGGCTGAGCCCAGCCACCCCAAGGAGGAAACTCATTTCGGCCACTTGTATCCACAACCACATTCTTTTGGTCACTACCCAGAGCTCATGACCATAGGTGAGGGTTGGGACGTATGGGCCAGTAAATCAAAAGCTTTGCCTTCCGGCTCAGCTCCCTCTTCACCATGACGGTCTGACGCAGCACCCGCATCACTGCAGAAGCCGCATCAAACCACCGATCCATCTCTCGCTCCATTCTACCCTTACTCGTGAACAAGACCCCAAGATACTTTAAATTCCTTGCTTGAGCCAGTAACTCTTTTCCAACTGAGAGGGGGCAATTCACTGTTTTCTGGCAGAGAACCATGGCCTCAGAATTGGAGGTGCTGACTATCCTGACTGCTATTATCATACTTTTTTTTAATATTTTTTTTGCTTTTTTGTGAGTGCATTTGCATTTTTTGGCGAACCCCAAATATCAAACACATGTATATTAAGTACAGAACGTTTCCTGTCTTTGCTGCCTGTCTGCTAGGAACCACTAAACCTCTTATTAGAATTATATTGTAATATAGTCCCTGTTAAATTTTTTACAGGACTCCTACCCCAGTGGCCCCGGGGCCCTGAACCTTTCAGAGTCCTGTGTCTCCGCCAGCAACTTTGCGTCAACAACAGAGGGCATCATTGAATCAGGACCATACAAAGGTAAGACATTTCACTTTATATTGTTGCTCTGCTTATTTTGTGTACGTACAGTTTCTATGGTATCAGACCTTTGTGATGGAGCAGCTCATCAGAAACTTGTCAGGTCTTGTCACGTCATTTGACACCCCCCCCCAATTACACCTCGCATTAATGCGTCTCATATCTGGTTGTATCTAGATATGACTGCAGCATTCTGTGTTTACAAACAGTTTTTCCTCTCCATGTATTCACAGTGCTCCACTTTGGGGTTTTAATCTCTGAGAGATTTGAAAGGAAGACATTTGAATTTGTAAAGGTGGACATCCAATTGAATTTAATGAGTTTCCTCTGATCTCTGTATTGTAACCCTTCTTTCCTTTTCATCATCATGCCCCACTTATTAAAAATGCGCCATGGAGTGGTGAGCTGTTGTAGCCCATTACCACAATGTTGCCATGGCTATTTTCCATGTTATTTACTCTGGTTCAGGTAGGCTTTTGTTGATTAGCACACTGATCCTGCGGCACAGAGAGCCACCATGATAAGAAAAACACGTGCAGGAAATCAGCATCAATGAGATATTTCTCGTTACACTTGTTCAGGCTGGATGGTGACATACTAATGAATCATAACTCTGAATATCTCTCAGGGTCAGCAAGCCTGCCCACATCACCCGTGGCACCTGTAGCTCCCAGCTCAGCTGTTGCTAGCCGCCTGGCACGCTCTTCCAGCGATAGTCAGGCTGAGCAAGGTACCAGCAGCAATGGAGTCTGAATCAGATGATACTGAGTCGTCACCATCTGCACACTAAATTAACCACAGTCCTTTTGTGCCTCTCTTGGTTTTTCATCTTACCTGCTCCTTGTTCCCACAGGCTGTGCTACATTCACAATCAAACCTCTCCTCTTCGCCTTTCTTGTTTAAATGGCTCTCCAAACTTTGTCCTCATATAAGTCTGGGCTAATGAAGTAGTTTTCTGCTTTGCAGTGGCTAATGAAACGCATTCACACACCTCTTAGAGTCATTTTCCTCAGAGTTAGATCTGATGCAACCTCTTGATGCCTAAAGCATTTGCTTGGCTTGGAAAGGAAACTGCTTTCATGTTTAATCTCAGTGGGTTTTCCTGTTTGTAACCTTTGTCCTTGCTAAAGTTGGCACCTGTAGCCTCCCATAGTTTCTATCTGTAAGGCCCGAAAGGACCAAATGTGGTAAATGGATGTCAGAAAAGTCAAAATATAACAGAATACATGGATAGATCATTTTGTAGGTAAAGGTCCAGTGTGTAGGATTTAGTGGCATCTAGCGTTGAAGTTGCAGAACTGAAACTTCTCCCTCGTGCCAAGTGTGAAGGAGACTACAGTGGGTGACTTTAAAATGTGAATGGCCCTATCTAGAGCCAGGTTATTTTTTTTTGGCCATTCTTGGCTACCGATGGAAACAGCAGGAGCCTCTAAATTCCCGTAAGGTGATATTTAGGGGCTCTGTCCTAAACATAATAACTCACCAGCCCTATGAGCTGTTATCAACTGCACTGAAGCTAACTGTCTACAGTACAGCAGTCAGTGCACAGAATTTTAACCATCTATGTGTTGTGTAATTGTAGCATCACTGTGTGAACTCTTGTTGTATCTAAAGCATTTTAACTGTAAAGCAAACATTTATTTTTATACTATGTTTTAGTTATTTAACTAATGACATGTTTTCTGTCTATATTCTTGACTTGTCTGATAACCTTTACCTATATTTTGTCAGTTTCGGGGCTCGGTATCTTTCAGCATTTCCCCTCTGTGCCCAACAAAGCACTTTTCATCACTGTTACTGTGACTGTTAGCATTTTTAAATGGTAAGTCATGACTAATTGTATTTTGATGTTCATTTTGATTTGAATAATCAGATGTCTTCGGCGTCCTCTAATGCCTTAAATTTAGTATGTGGTCTGAATTGAAGATTCAGTGTTAACGTGATGATCTCATTACACTGTCTGATGATTATAACCTCCCTAATTTTCACCACAGCTCTCTAGCCTGCAAATCCAATAACTTTAATCAGCCACTAAGTGAATGACTTTGAATTGTCCAGGCCCAATGAATGCACAGCCAAACAGTGGAGCAGTGGTCCTTTCAGATGACTTAAAGAGCCCAGCCATGGAAAAACTGGACCTAGTGAGAAAGTGGAGCATCAACACATACAAAGTAATTCTCTCTGTCCTTGTTTCTTTATATGTTCTTCCTCTGCTGTGCTTCTTCTCTCAGCCTTTGTCTGCTCTCAGTTTATTAGGATGTTGGCAGAAAAGTGAAACGGACAAACACAAATGATTGATATCTTCTGTTGTTTTAGATTTTGTTTTTTGGCTCAAACAGTACATTAGCTACTTCCACAGTTGTCCCTAATTATTTAAACCCTGCTGTTCTTTGCAGTGTACCAGGCAGATCCTGTCAGAGAAGCTGGGACGGGGCTCGAGGACCGTAGACCTGGAGCTGGAGGCTCAAATCGAAGTCCTCCGCGACAACAAGAGGAAGTACCAGAATGTAATCAAGCTGGCTCAGACGCTGGCCACTCAGCTGTCCCAGATAATGCAGACGCAGAGGCAGCTGGGCGACGCCTTCGCTGACCTCAGCCTCAAGTCACCAGAACTGCATGTGAGTCCGTAAATATAGATGCAGTGATATCAATCGGATGAGGTAGGATAAACGGGAAGAGGCATCTTATCATCTTTACTTAGTGTCCAAGTAAAGACACATAAAATACTATAGAATACATGTGTAGGGATGCACCGACTTATCAACTGAACATTGGTATCAGCCGATATTCCGATAGCTGCCTTGTTGGCTGCCATCAGCCTATCAGCGAAGACGACATTCCCCATTGGCAGGAGCTCATGTTTTTCTGTTGTTTGCAGGCTTAAAAGCAGGGCTCAAGACTAATGGTGCCCCATTGTCTTGGGGACAATATGAAATGAGTGTTTGAGATGAACAGAGATCGTCCCTGGGATGCTTGCGGGACAAAAGGACGCAGTAAACTCAGTAGCGATGTGTCAGGGAACACACCCCATTTTTTCCCCAGATAATGTTACACTGTGAACTACAAATCTGTACTGACATCAGCAGGACGAGAGCTAGAGAGCTACACCACTGACTGCTGGGTTGTGTACTAGATGAGTTTCATGATTCGTTTGATCCTTTATTCTGTGAAAATGAGCATAAGGTGAAGGTAAATTATGACATCATGATGTGTTCTTGTAAAGTTTAGTTTTTGGGGAGAAACTTCAATAAATATAAATATAATACAGCAATATAACATGGATATTAGATCAAAAGGCTTTTGAAGCAGATTTTCTTTAAAGGCGACGTATGTAAAAATGTGGGCAAAACGGTTACTGCACTCAAATTCAAAATACTGCCGCGAGTCGTATCCGCCCCCCGTTCGAGCAAGTCCAGCTTCTCTGCTGCTAACGCTGCTGCCGGGATACAGCGGAGGAGGAGCCGGCTGCTAATGCTATGTGCTGGGACACTGCTAATGCTGCTTGCCGTGCTGCTAACGTTTGTTTCTCAAAAAAATCAGTCGGGTCGATGACCCACCTGCACATGGGCTACAATGTATGATCGAAAATGAGTAACAGTTGAAAGTATTCGAAATGTCCATCCCCATCTAGATATGATGCTAGTTAGCCAACTTTGGCTAAAGCTTACCTGTTGAGGAGAAGAGTAGCCACTTCGACATCCGATTTCAAATTCTTCTCCGCTTTCAGCCGTCTCCACCGTTTAAAAGCATCTCCTATATAGAACCTCGCTTTGCCTTGAGTTTTGTCTTGGCGTTTTTGGGAATCATAACAAGGTCGTTTGGGTTTAGTCGCACCGTCAGCCATTGTAGCTCAGTTGTAACTACTGGCAACCTGGATGCTGAGACTCTACTGACTGTGTGACTGGTAGATGGCAGTGGGTGGCGCAACAGGCCAAAACACAAATTCAAAACATAAACATGATTTGCGGACTGTAAATTTTTTTTTAAATGCGAATATTCTGGCTGAGATCAGTATGTTATATGAACATTATTCCTTAGTCTCTGTGACATATTAGGATGATTTTACGACTATTTGCTTTAGGTTTCTTACATATAGCTCCTTTAAAAGATGTTTTAATGTGAAAGAAGGTTATATTAAAGGTTGTTTCATAGATTTGTATGGTTGAATTTGTGCTCATTCAGAGGTAGTATATGAGCTAAATTACTTGATAACAGTCCAGTTATTTTTTTATAGTGTAACAACAACAAAAGCAAAACAAACCATAACAAAAAACATTTGTATCGGCTATTGGGCAAATTAATTTAAACAGCGTTGCATCACTAAAATGTATATATTGACTTTTGGGTCATCTGCAGAGCAAACTTATTTTCTGAGACTCTCCCCTGATGCCTCTGATTACTATTTATTTCGATTTTATTGAGGCATCCAAAGTTAATGGCTTAAAGGCAGTAAAGAGTCATGAATAATTAAAGTTTAGGTCCTGCTGTTTCTTCCCAGTCCTCTGTGTTACTGAATTTATCTTTGTTGCTCCATGTTTCAAATACCAAGTACATTCTCTTTTATATTTGAGTGAGTACATATACAGTACTAACAGTAATCTAACTGCTTTACATCATAGCAATACAGTTTTATGTCTCAGACACTGATGTTCTTTTTGTAATTATGGCTTACCTATTTTCTAACTATATCTGAGGAACTGGTCTCTCTGCAGATTACATTTTTGTGTTTAATTGATGCAGATGCCAACAAATGTATTTTTTCACACTTATATTTTAATAATCACTATTACCCCTGTACAATATTTGGAAAATGTACTGTATGTTGCTGGCACCCACAGGTACTTTAGTCACTGTGGACAATGATACTGAATAAGAAAAATTCAGTGATGTGATTGAAATCTCTTTGACTCTTTCTTCAGGAGGAGTTTGGTTACAATGCTGACACCCAAAAGCTTTTGTCCAAAAATGGAGAGACACTGCTGGGTGCCATCAACTTTTTCATCAGCAGCGTTAACACACTCGTGGACAAAACAATCGAAGACACCATGATTAATATCAAACAGTATGAAGTTGCCAGGTAGGTGATGCATGATCGTGTGTGCTTATTGTGGCTGTGCAACATCTTCAAACCGCAGTCATTATCTAACTATGTGGAGAAACTGTCTCAGTCCTGGCTGGATCTTTGTGAGATCAAAGTTTCATCTTTGTCAGGTCAAAAAACCTCCACAGAAACTTCTTTGTTCTTGCTTTTAAAATGCAAGAATTCAGGCACTGTCAGAAGTCTTATTCATGATAAATGAAATGTGTGGATTGGGTTGTCTTCTGCCAGAGGAAAATTTGATATTGGAAATTGCCAGAGTTGCTTTAGTAGCAAAATTTACAGCGCACTTCAGGCAAAAAACAGTAACAGCAGAACTTTCTGTGTCTTCACCATTAAAGCCCCCCACACGTACACTCATCCAGGCATTTAACTCAAAACTTCAAGCTGTAGAAAAATGTTATAAGCATACATACTGTGTGTATAAATGTATATGATAGGAGCGTTGTGGAGTATAAACAAACAATATTTACATTCCATATTACTCACCCAAAAGGCATCGAACATGACCTTGAAGTCTGATAAATGCACTGAATACCCACTGTCCATGAAACGTTTGCAAAGCCAAAGCACTCTTCCTCTTTCCTGCCTTTGTTGGTATGTTGCTGCATTTCTTGGAGCACAGCTGCCACCTGCAGATCAGTGGAATACTGTGAAACCATCTGCTGGACTGTTAATTGAATAACTCGTTGCACTTGTATCCTCCTGTCTCAAGACAAACAAATTTTATATTTAAAAACTGCTCTGTAGCTCTACTGGAGATCAAAAAGTCTATAGGGCACTTTAAAAACATAACAAACTGGACTTGGTGTACGAGACAGGTTGCATTAAACTTTCTCATTTTCAGTCATTTTGATTAACAAGGTCATAAAAATTCCATTATAATCTACAGTAATATTACCTGTGATTTTTGTGTTCAAATGTAATAGTATTTAGTTTTCATTAAATATACAGAAAAAGTGTATAGATTACGCATTTAAAAGCAGGGGTGTAGTGCTATTTGTTTGCCAAAGCGCACCTATGTGTACACAAACACAGTTAAGTTGTGGCTCGTTTTGAATGACATGTTACCACTGCTTAATCAACTATAACTATAAAATGAAAGGATATTTTGCTGCCTTGTCATCTTTATTGGTTAAAAGTTAGCAATAAACAAAAAAAATTAACTGTGGCCCTCAGCCTACCACTGGTGGTGTGTTTTCTTGCATACATCACCACTGATGTTGTGAATCAGACGACACACCTTAAATGTCAATATGAAAACTTTGTTTTTGATTCTCTTGCATGACATACACTTAAGTGATTATTAGATATTCAAGCGCTTAAAAAAATGTATGCATTTCAGCCTGATCAGCAAAGTGCAAATATTCTTTGTTCTCACTTGGACAAAAAAGTGGTGGAGCATCGTTCCAGTGTGCTCTGGCAGCACTACTCTCCAGTGGGCATGGAGAGAAAATGTGAACAGATACACCGGGATTGTAGCAATATAGCCTATCAATGCGATGGCTTAAGCCAGTTAGACAATGATGTCATGCACGTGAGATCAAAAGCAAGACAAGACAAGACTGGACTATAGTTAATTAATATGCACACTCCACCAGCTGGGCAGGGGTGTGATGAATTACTGACAGTTATAGTAGATTGCCCTCACTGTTCTAATCTGTCAAAACGACAAACAGCTGTCAGATTTTTCCATCATTGTTAAAACAGTTTCAGTCAGAGACTCCCCCCCTCACTCTCCACCTTCAAGAAAACCCTGAAAACACACCCTTTCAAAACGGCCTATAACCTCTAAATTCAGTGTCCTTTGCCCTTTCTGGACGATTTCCCTCCCTACATCCCTATGGATTTTTTTTTTTTTTTTTTTTTTTTTTTTTGATGTTGCTCTTTGTAAAACGTCTTTGAGTATACTGAAAAGCACTATATGAATCCAATGTATTATTTATTATTATCATTATTAGTCAGTGACGGAAAATATTCATTGAACATGACTTCTGGTGCAGATATTTTTGTTGTTTATGTTGATTTCTAACAGTCTTGCTTACATAGTGATGTATAACAATGTATTCATATGTATTTCATATATTTGACACCACACTTCTAGGGTTGAGTACGATGCGTACCGTACAGACTTGGAGGAGCTGAATCTGGGCCCACGTGACGCCACCACAATGCCCAAGATCGAACACTCCCAGCAGCAGTTCCAGATCCACCGCGAGAAGTACGAGAGGATGCGAAACGACGTCTCCGTCAAACTGAAATTTCTGGAAGAGAACAAGGTAGGTTAGAATCTGTTCGTGCTCAACAATCCTACACCAGCGTATTGTCTTTCAGTTCAGCTCTCCTCACTGTCTCTTTATTTCCCCTTCCTCCCCCCAAACAGGTGAAGGTATTGCACAACCAGCTCATCCTGTTCCACAATGCCATAGCTGCGTACTACGCTGGAAACCAACAGCAGCTGGAACAGACACTCAAGCAGTTCCACATCAAGTTGAAAATGCCGGGTGGGGACAGTCCATCCTGGTTGGAAGAGCACTAATCACTCCTTTTGAAGCCACAGCGGCTCAGTTTGACAGGAACTGTCACAGTCTACAGAAACTACAGGAAACTACCCTCCTCTCTTCAACTCTACTGTCACTGCCTTTCAAACTTTCACAACTGTAAATCCTTTTAACTCAAAACACAAAATGAAAAAAAAACCTCCTACAATCCTTTTTACTCTTGTTGTGAAATCATCCTTTTCATGTCGCAGTTATTTGAAATCATAGGAAACGCACTTTTATACTGTTTGACAAATCTGTTGAGCAGGAGCGGCTGCAGTAAACACATTTGGAAACTCTAAATGGCCTTTTGTATTCCAGCATATGAATGTTGCATCCCAGCTCAGCAGACACGTTGGCTCCCTACGGCCAACTACGGGATCAAAACGACTGCCGTTTTACTCATTATTAATTTTACTCTGCTCAGCTGACTGGGATGGGGACGAACACTTTATGAAAGCCTAATCAGGACGTTTCAGGAGAATCTGAACATGAATTCTCTCATGATTTGATTTTTACACCTGTTGTGACAGACAGCGGAAAACGGAATTCAGATTTATGAATCATGCAAACTGCTCATTTTTGCAAGCAAACTGATTAATAATGTAGTTTGACATGTTGGGAAGTACATGTGTTTGCTTTCTTGCTGAGAGTTCGTTCAGTAGACTGTTTCATTGCTATTCTGTTGCTAGGGCAACGTCTTTGGTCCCTGTTTACTTCCTGTCAGCTACAGCATTTACAAACATTCCAACAGGAAGTACACCTGGACCCATTTAGAACATCTAAGTTTTCAAGTTTGAAACAGTCTATATGAGGCGTGTTATTATGGATCCCACTGCGTTTTTGGTGCTGGTACAGGCTAAAACTTGAACTAACCATGACCTTTGTCCTAACCCTAAATGCCTCAGACTTCAACACATCAATGTGACCAGTAATGGCCAGTCACAGCGCAGTAGGGTGGGACTCGCCAAGAGAAGCAGGGGGATCCATAACGCTCATAATGCTGCATTCAAGTGCACCCTGGATGGTCTCATTTCACAAGCTGGGAAGTCCTTCTTCCGACTTTGGCGAGTTTTTAACTCATTATGTGGGAAGACATGGACGCAACAAAGAAGATTTTTATATTTAAATGCTCAGAATGTTTAACGTCCCAGTGGAGATTCTCGTTGCCAGTCTGAACAGTTTGAAGCTTTATGTTACAAAGTGATTTTGTCCGACTTGTTGCTGCACCAGTACATCCCCTGAAACCACTAAAATTTTGCTTTACCTGACTAATGCTAATGAATAACTTCTCTCACTAATCTAAATCAATATACATGGACAGCAACTAATAGTAACGTGTTAGCAAAAAATTGACATGCAATATGTGAAATTATTTAAAAAGTTTATCACCATCAGCTGAACATTTACTTATGTCCACCATGTTTCCACGTATGTGACATCAACTTGGCAACTCATGTACCAAAATTTTCGCCAACTTTCCCAGTTGTTCCTCATTAATGTGAATTTTCCCAGTTGGGGAACTAATTTTCCGATCATTCCAACACCACACGAATGCAAGGTTAGGCAACAACCAGCAGCCATTTAGTTTAGCTTAGCATTAAGACAGGCAACGGGTGAAACAGCTAGCCTGACTCTGTCCAAAGGTGAAAAAACATTCTGCCTATAAGTACCTCTAAACCTCACTAATACAAAAACCAAAGTGTAAAAAAATTGTGGTTTCATGGGAGGTTATGTACCTTAAAATGGAGCCAGGCTAGCTGTTTCCCTCTGATTCCAGACTTTATGCTAAGCTAAGATAACCAGCTGCAGGCTGTAGCTTTATATTTAAAGACATTAGAGGAGTATTGATCTTCTTAACTCTCAGCGAGAAAAAACAAATGAGAATATTTCCCAAAATGTCAAACTATTACTTTAAAATAAAATGTCAAAGTCACACTGATGGCTGTTCACAACAAATCCTGCATGTTGTGATATGATTACGTTGACATGATGCTACTTTTAATCAACATTGCCCTCTGTTTTTTTAGCATTTCCCTATTTTGTCTGCGTTCATGGCATACGACTGAATGGGTACAAGTGTTGATTCTCTTAAATTCCAGAGAAAATGAAGGACCAGCCTTATGTGACTAAATGTGCCTTGAATTCTTGAATTTGTTCCTCTCTTCCCCTCTGTGCTTTGATACCTGGTCTTGTTGAAAACAGGCGCTCTCACTACCAGTTTACGGGACCAACTCTTGAAGGAAGAGAATGGACCAAACACAGATGCACACATACACACACATAAACACACTCGGAGAACAGTACAGTTAGAGCCTACACAACTGTACATTAAAACACTCCACGCAGCACAAATATAATACTCCAGTAACATTCAAAAAGTCTGAATATATTTTAAGACTTGCTGTTCTCAAAGATATTTATCCATGTTGCACTTGCACATTTATGCATTTGAGACTAATTACGACAAACTTGTAAGAACTGTATGATATGTAAACCAAAATACAACTAACTTGACAAACTTTTTTGTAAATTTGAAAGACCAGCATCCTTTACCTGAGCTGCTAACAGTTTCTTTCATTGGGTTATATTAAAATATATTTTTCAGACAGGACATATTGTACGCTGGTATTGATAACCTGCTGTCATGTCCTCACTTTGTTGATTTGTACTTTTCCTATGGCTCACCATAGTGGTTTGAGAGTGTGAATCTTGTACAACAATCTATTGTTTCCCTGAAATAGATGGATATATATTTGTAATTTTCTCGATTTTACCTTGTAGTTTATGATCAATGCTGCCATTTGGCTTTGTTTTTTCCCTGAAGACCTACAGAATGATGTGCTAGTACTAGTACGTGCTGGTGGATCTCTACCTTTGTAATAATGAAACATTAACAAATGTTGAATTAAGGAAAAAGGATTCTGAATGTTGTGTAACCTCTTTGGGAAAATAAAAGTTTCTTTTCTTTATCATCTAGAGGTGTTTGTAGCAGACTGTATGACAAGTCACCACCAGGGGCCAACAAAGAAACCTGAGGCAAGGTAAAGCCTTAGATTACATTTGGCCACAGCTGTCATTTACACTGGGAACGCTGGGGATGTGTCTCCACCACTTTTTGAAATGGTTTGATTTTGTCCATCACTTTTTATAAGCATAATTTGTTAAAAATGTTCTTAAAAATAGCTTGCACCAAGAAATACTAACTAACAAATGAGAAAGGTTTATTTGCATAATAGTAAAACACACAATACAGTGTAAATATAGAAAAAATAATGTGCATTATCTCAACTAACTCAACTAAAATGACCCCAAAAACATACATGCGCCGATCAGTAACTTTAACAAATTCTTGACACAGTTTCTCCTCGTCAAAGTTCTCCATTCTCTCTCTGTAAACATGACAACACATATAAGCTATTAAAGTACAGGGCTTTATAAATTCATTTAAATTAATTACTGTGTCATTGATGTGACTAGATGCCATGTGCACATTTGAAGAGGTTACTTCCCCAAACAAAACAAGACTGATGAGTAAATCATGACTACGTGTGTTAGCTCAGCAGAGATAACATTAAACAGAAAATGTTAGGAAAATGATTATTTGAAAGCAATACAGAAAGTCTGAGAGCCTCACTGCATTATATTCCATCATATTTTTATATTTTGAATTGTCACCTGCTGCCTGGAGTTTGAGTGTTTTTCTTTATAAAAAAAACACGTCTGTCAAGTGTTTGACACTCCACATTTCGTGGAGGAGGACCCCAGACACCATGCTTCTTATGTGCACTCCACAATGCTGAAATAAAGCTGTGGTAGGCTGTGCCCTTTTGACTCACCATTTTTGCCCAGCTCGCTATAATAACTCTGACCTCATACTGATCCCCCCATTACATTACCTAAAATTGCATATGTTGAAGAAAAGAAAAAAAAATCATCTATGAGCCCATAAGGCAGGGGTGTCAAACATACGGCCCAGGGGCCAGAACTGGCCTGCCAAAGGGTCCAATCCGGCCCTTAAGATGACTTTGCACACCTAATGTTGATGCACATGTGAAGGCTGAGAGGTTAAACACTGAGTAGATACTTCATGTAAAATACTGCCTGAGAGGCTTTTCCACCCCAGCCAGAATACAGCTCTCTGAAATAACAATGAATACTTTTTATGGTCATATTTAAAGATATTGAACACTGTGCAAAATATTGTCAACCAGCAGTTTCAGTACAAAAGTATCTGTATCAGACTTCTGTCTTAAAACAATATTAGTGGAACCCTGCTGCTCAGGCACTGACAAAACTTCAGATTGTAAATGGTTTGTAAGGCAGGGGATGAGTTAACCTGCTTCTTCAACAGCTTAAAGGTCACCTGTAATGACAGTGAGTAGCCGACTGACTGAATGTGGAAAAACTGAGTCATACTGTTAAATTTGCACATCATTTTCCTTTCTTCTTTGTTTAGTAAATGGATCAATGTTTTCAGAATGAAAGAAAAATCTGAAGGGGTTGCTGTTTGTAGGTTATAATGCAGTGGTTTTACTGGTCCGGCCCACTTGAGATCAAATTGGGCTTTATGTGGCCCTTGGACTAAAATGAGTTTGACACCCGTGCCATATGTGGTCAGTCCTCAGTCTTCACCACTTTATAATACAAAGTGACGCCTTTACATTTGTCTAACAGAAGGCTACAGTAAAAAAGATACAGATATGAACACTGAGGAGGCAAGAAAAGCTTACGACATGCCCTCTGAGAATTTACAATTATATTCCAAGTAAATCTTTTCTGCTTTCATCCTATTTTTTGTTGCTTCCCAGAAAGACAGCAGTGGTTCATACTCTGTTGACACATGGATTGGATTTACCTTGTGTTTACTTAAGTCCAGGTGCTTTTAGGTTCCCCTTTAGGTTTTTATAATCGCAAACCCACCACACCCACAGGTATACATTTGACAGGATCTGGTTAATCCTCAGAGGAGCCTTGAGGATGTTGATCACAGACTCAGTGATGTGTTTTATCTGTAGATACACTGTCAATCAAATGCATCTACGCAAATAAATTTCCATTAACGGAAGCGTAAAGGAACAGAGTGCCGCAGTTTAAAGATGTAAAGTTAAACATATGAATGAATTAACAACGTACCCACAATTAAAAAATGTAAATGGATTTCATTTAATAAGAACACTTAGAAACATATCCACTTTTCAGTTATATTTATAAATTATTTGTAGTTCAGTTATTTGTACAGAAATGAGGGATGTAAACAATTTCATAGCACTGAGGAGTTGTGCTTTTGAATCTAGTTTAATGCACTGATTTACTGTGCTATTTATGACAGTAGCTCTTAATGTGTGTGATTTTATTCACCAATATAACAAACGACGATCCAGTATAACTGTCACCTTGACTTACAAGATATAGAAGACAACTGGGAACAACATGCAAACCCCCTCTTTACCAGCCAGTCAAAGTGTGGACTTGTGGACCTCTCACCTGCATGCTTGGCACATGGAGAAATTTCAGTTCTGCAACCTCACCACTAGATGCCACTAAATTCTACACACTGGACCTTTCAAAAGCTGTACCCCAGTGCTAGTTTACTCTGTAACAAGTTTAAGTCCTGCATTCAAACTTTTACTCAACCAAAAGTAAAGTATCATCATGAAAATATACTTCAAGTGTCAAAAGTATGCATTGCGCAAAATTATCACATAAATGTTGTTGAATATGTGGGATCTAGGTGACAGATCAGACAATGTACACGACCTTACAGTTGTCCCCCAAAATAAAAATGATGCTGTCTTCAGTGATCGTGATAGCTTTGTGTCTGATATAGACCATGAGGGGGAGACAGGCCTTTTGCCAGCCAGGCTGTCGAAGTCATATGCTAAAACAGATCATGACAGGAACAACTATATCACTGATTATGACCTCCCTCTCCTGCCTGTTCTTATTCTGAAATGTTGAATACTGCTGCTTTGTCAGTGATTTCGGCATCAGACACCTGACGCCAAAAGCCACCTTTTACGGCACTATGTAATGCAGCCGGACTTGACCATTGGTGTTGCTATGATGTGGCGCTGGTTAGCCAGACAGCACCTATCAGGGCGGTGTGATACCCTGCTGGACGCGGTCAGGTTGAAACACTACTGGTAACAACATGATATAAGGAGCAGGAAAGTCTGTGTAGGATGGGCAGGAGGGGTGGTTGATGGGTCCAACAAATCCCGGACTTTCACCCATGAGCCTAGTGTTTGCTTCCTGAATGCCAATCCAAGGTGTTTAGTTTATTTCTAAACCTAACCATGTGCTTTTGTTAATGTCATGGTATTGGGAGTGCGTCCTAGCCTGGAAATCCAGACCCAAATCTAGAAAGATTTAGGGGCTGGCTATGAGTAATGCAAATTGCCCAACTTGAGGGGCGGCACCAAGCATACATTTGAAAATATCACTGCACGCAATTGGATAACACTACGACCAATCAGAACAAAACACGGGGTGACATATCCAGGGCGCTACCAGTGGAGCTAACTGGTAGATTAGACTCTTGCCGTATCGGCAACAGCAAAAATGTCCTTGCAAAGGAAAGATTCGAGCGCTGTCTTCTGTTCCTCTTTTAGAGAAAAAGCCAAGTCTAACTCGTTCATTGTAGCAGCCAAAGCCGTTTCAAACAGCTGGTGTTCATCCGTAGCCATCTTGCAATGTTTACTGACTGATTCCGGACTTCGTCGTCGCAGCGCTGTCGTCATCTGTTTAGCTCGCCTCTGGCCAGCCTATATCAGATACACTGATGTTACTGGTGCAGCTCAGCTCCAACGGCATGGGTAATGAGCATCATTACTGATTGCCAGAGTGACTCGCTGAGCAAATTCAAACTGTGCTCTCGTGAGAACTCTGGATTTCCAGGGTAAGTGCGTCCTGGAACGTCAACAGCAGATGCAGAAAGATACTTAGCATGTCATATGTCAATGTAAAAGGCCACTGACAAAGCAGTGATATGTATAAGGGGTTTTGATATGTAAAGTAGTCACTTAAGAGTGATGCCAGTGGTCACAATTGTGACTGACCATAAAACACACTTTCTCACTTACTTTTCCCTGAAAATTGACAAAAAAAGGCAGATTATTTCAAAGGGTTATCAGTGACAGTTGATTTAGATAGTTTTGTGTCTGGGAAAAAATTGGGATTAAACAGGTTAATTACAGTACTTGTGTACTTAGTCACTTTCCACCACCACTCAATCCTGATTGAGTTACATTAACCCACCTGAGCATACATCATTGGTTGCAGCCTTGTGATTGCACCAGTGGTCACAAGCAGCGTGTGGCGCGCGCAGGGACCGCGTGAGCGCGCCTGTTCCACCTGGCCCAATCACGTACAAGGAAGCTGCTGCTGCTGCTGAGTGTGTCTGCACTGTGACTGCTGCAGCTCGGCCAACACACAGCTCCAGCTCACCTGACCGGCTCATAACCTGAAACATTACTCAGATTTTCTCCTCTGAAAAGTATCGAGCACTAACTCTAACCGTGTCGGAGCGCGTCACGAGCCCCGGACAGCCCTCTCATCTCTCCGGTAAGTCAAGCAGGACGGTACCGCCGCATCATGCTGTGTGTGTGGATGTGCCATACGTAACGACCTGCTGCAACTCTGCTGTGAGAAGTCATTGTACTGTGAGAGTCTGCAGGTCCGTTTATTAGCGAAGCAGAGAGCATGTAATCTTCCTACTATTGATATCTCCTCTGTGAGCCTTTAAGGTGACAACACAAGGTGTCCTGCAATGCAGTTAAGCCCCAAAATTACATCATTAGGAAGATTTAGTGTAGTTTAAGGCCTGGATCTGCTGTATGTTGGTGATGTAAACACCAAGGAAACACTGGATTGTTCTTGGTATTTTAAAGAAGTTGATGATACCCTTTTAACATTGCTACCAGAGAGATCAAAATGAAAAGTAATTAGTGTGCATAGGAAGAATTTTGTGTCTGAAGGTGTAAATCTCATTCAAGCAAGCACATTGTAATGTTAAAAAAAGTATTAGGCAGGAAGTACAAAAAAGTATTAACACCTAATGGAAAGGTTTCATGTTTTATTGTGACACAGCATTGAATCAAACATTAAATGCAGCTTTGTATCATCACTGATCAACAGAAAAAAAAAGAGTAGGTAAATAGGCACTGTGGTTAGATAGCAGTTAAAGTAATAGTCTTTTTCATGTTGGAGTAACAATTTTTAATTCTTACTTTCAGTGTAGGGTCTCTTAGCAAATGACTGAAGCTCACAAGTTTTGATTAATTGGTAGTTTACCTACATGCATGATCCATAAATATAATATTTGGGCTGGATCTAGTTTGAAATGGTTGAATATTAGTATTTCAGTTTGTGTTTTGGTGCTTGATAACAATGTGATACATTTCCCAATACTAAAAAATACAAAATCCTCGTTTAATTTAAGAAAAATAGCCGAAGTGCTTAAATTCAAAATGTCTTTTCACAACTGCATATACATATGTACATATGGAAGCCCATTTCCGCCAATGTAATTCAATAAAATGAAAATCTTTCTTAAAATAATGACTTTGTATCTCAAAATGATAACATTGTATTGCAAAGTAATGATTTAGTATGTCAAAATAATGAGTTTGTCTTACAAAATAATGAGAAACTTTACCAAAATAAAGAATTAGTTTTCTCAAAATAATTATTTAGTATCTTGAAAAAATGAGTTAGAATCTCAAAACAATGACAAACATTCTCAAAATAATGACTTAGTATCTCAAGATGATAATCTGGTATTGCAAGGTAATGACCAAATATCTCAAAAATAATGAGAAACATAAAACTAAGCATTTACTCATATCAAAATAAGTACATAATATGTTGAAATAATGAGTTAGAATCTCAAAATAATGACAAACTTTCTCAAAATGATGACTTGGTATTGCAAAGTAATGATTTAGTATCTCAAAATGATAAAGTAGTATTTAAAGAAAATGATTAGGTATCACAAAATAATGATTTGTTATTGCAAAATAATGAGAAATTTGATCAAAATAATGAGAAACTTTCTCAAAATTATTAATGACTAATCCCCAAATAACTTAGAATCTCGAAATAATGAGTTACAGTCTAAAAATAATGAGAAGCTTTCTTAAAGCCATGACTTAGTATCTCATAATAATGATTCATTTTGAGATACTAATTAATTATTTTGAAAAAGTTTATCATTATTTTTTGAAATACTAAGCCTATCATTACACTGACTTGCAGGATCTTTTTCTTCATCATATTGGCGTAAATGGGCTTCCATACGAACAAAAACTTTGCCTAGATGAAGCAGTTTCAAATTGATTTAAGCTTTGATATGAATCAACAACTTTCTGACCATATAATAAGTGAACAAAACTATGGATCCAACTGAACATTTGATTCCAGTTTTCAGTTTTTGATACTCTGTGGTGCTTCAGATAGATTTTGGTTGCCATCACATAAGGTTAAAACACAGCCCTGTGTATCTGATGGACATTTTTATCCCACGTTTAAGTGATCACTGGAGTCAGAAGCAGTGTTTCAGTGTTGCAGTGGTTGTTGTGGCTTCACTAACAGAACTTAGTGACCTTTTAGTTCAACATGTATGGCTTTATAACTTTGCCCCTGTTGGTTTTGTTCTGCACCTCAGACCCCGGCTCCCTCGGCTTTTGTACACTACTATACATGCTGAGATGAATTAGAGGGCAATCCATTCAAGTGTGGGGAACAATACCCCCATGGAAAAAAGGGTTTCTCCCCAGGTCAGGTCAAGGGAGAGGGCGGTGTCACCCCCCGGTTGCTGTGGAGGCTGAGAGTAACACGGAAAACTCAATTCTCTGACGTCATCCCCGAAGAGGAAGATGTTGGGGGGCTTGATTTATTTCTGTGGGAGTAGGGAGGGGCTGAATAGTTGTTGGCAACTTGGGTCAACTCGAGAGGTCTTTATTGCCTGAAAATCTGTCCTTGTCTTCTAAATTCAATTTGAGCATGCAATGAGAGACGGTTAAAAAATAAAAAAAAATAACAAAAGACGAAAGAAAAGAGGAAGACAATTAAAGCGTCGTTGGTGGTTGCCTTTCTCTGATGTCATGCCCAAATGTCCCACCCATGTTAGCACCTAAATCTCTCACTGTCTAATAAAGAAAATAAAGCCCAAAATAAAACTTTACAAAACCGTCAACAACTGACACAACTTCTCCGCCCCAAAATAAAAAATGATTCAAAATAAAAAAAAATATTCCTTGCACATATGTCATCTCGATAACTATTGTTTAGGGGATTTATGAGCATTGCTCGATGGCTACTGCGTGGTGTTTTGTGAGAGTCTGTTATGTGATCCGTGCACATGTGCCTGCCTGCAAGTCATGTTTCGCAGGTATTAAAGTGCATTTTAATGAAGCCTGCTGTGTCTCTGGGCCCTTGGGCAAACACTTTTCCCCACTGCCATGTAAACATGTTTGCATTCCCTCCATGTTGTCCCGCTGTTATCTCTATGGTGACGTGAGCACCTGCTTTATTTGTCATCTTTGTATATCATTAAAACCTTACCCAGGATGTGTTGGTTTAAGCCAGTTGTTAAGTCAAGTTTTTACTTAGTCAAACAGTACGTGTCGTTCCGCTCAAAATGCTCCTGATTAATCTGAAAGCTTCCATGGCAGACGCAAGTTTAACGCTGTGAAAGCCAAGAGGTACCAGAGAGATTTGCCTAAAGCTGATTTTGGCACCGGGCTCAGATTGCTGAGGCAACAATTGGGAGCGCGGAGCCAGAGGTGATGGAGACGCAGTGGTCCGCTGCAGGCAAGACACTGATCACCTGTTAACAAAAGAACAAACAGAAGACGAGGCAAAGCTCTGTTTTTGATCCGTAGCCTCGCAGACGGTGTACTCTGTCCCATCTCATCCCTCCTCCCTGTCATTACCTCGCCTCAGTGGGTTTTGTTTCACCTGGTTTACTTTTACTCCGGGTGTGTAATGGCTTTGTATTTTTTATTAGGAGGGTTAGTTTTGTGATCTGAAGTGTAGCATACTTCTGGAAAATGCTCTCTGGAGTCTGTTTAAAGCTGCTGTGTCATTGTGCAGGACAGTGTCGCTCCAGTGGGCCATAAAGTATAACAGTATATGTCATTTTATCTTGAGATATCAGTATATACTAAGGTTCAGCAACATCTTTGTGTCCACCTGATGAGTTTAACTCCAATATCCACTCTGCTTTTAGCTCTGATTTGGTCTCCACCAACTCCTGAAGGAAACATCTAGTTTTTATGCAGCTAAATGCTTTACTGCTATCACCGGGTAGTTGCTAATTTTATTGGATGGTTGTTTGGTGCTGGCCAGGTAGTGCAGTTTGTCAGGACACCTTTTAAAGAAATGCACTCTGTTGCCAGTTTATTAGGTACACCTAGCTAGAAGAAATGCAGTCTCATGCAACAGACCTGTTGTAGATCCAGTTGTAGTTGAGGAGGTGGGTGTACTACAAGGTAGATGGGATGGTTACCAAGGAGGAAGTGGGTATACTCTCCCATATATATTCCAATGTTGTTGTTTTTTTTAATATTTATAAACATATCTTAACTCAACAAGTTACCAAAAAACATATACAACTCCCACCCCCGACGTTAGAACATATGGCATCATATAAAAAGAGAGATAGTAGTTACAAATTCCAAAAACATTTCCCAAATATGAATAAATCCAGAAACCCTATTTCTCACTATATAGGTGAGTTGTTCAAGAGTCAAACTTACTGTTAAATCCTTCAACCAACCGCCAAGAGAGGGGCAGCACACATTCTTTCAGTAGAGCGCAATTGAACGCCTCGCCTGTAGCAAACATAATTCATTTCTCTTTCCTAGGCAGAATAGGAAACAAACGTAACAAATAGAGCCAAGGACTTAAAGGTATTGGGGACGAGGGCATCCAAGACACAAACTGCAGCACTGACTTCCAGGATCTTTTAATCTTAACACACTCCCACAAGCAGTGCTACAAGGTCCCTTGATGTGTGTTGCACTTTATTCCAATGGCTGTTTGGCTGATATGTTTGTATACCATAAATAGCCAGAAAAAGAGGTGGGTGTACCTTGTATACCTGTGTATAGCCTCCACTACACCTCGGGATGGATCCTTTCTTGAAAGAAGGATATAATGTTCAGTCTTTGTTTCAGCAGTTAATGTGTTGATTCAGCTTTATGATCAGCACTGTCCTTTTGTATTGCATAACGCAGAGAGGTGTTAAATGTTAAGTCTACTCTCACTGATTATAATTGGGGTGGAGAGTATGTTAAAACTTATATAGATGTACCTAATAAACCGCAAGTGATTTCAGATGCCAAAATACAGCAAAATGTCTGACAGTGGACACATTAATGCTGTCTCATGATATCATCAGGCCCAACCCTTTCTCCATTTCAAGGCTGCAACCAATGATTATTTCATTATCAGTTAATCTGCATTTCAGGATTTTGTTTAATGGCTTGATTGTGTAGTGAAGGAAATAAGTTAAAAATCTCCTTTTCAGTCTGATACAGGTTTTAGAAACGAAAAAGACA